TTTTAAAAATTAAACATCTTTAAATTTTTAGACAATCTGCAGCAAGTTAGAGAGATTTGTTAACCAAAAGGCCATTTTTTTTAAAACTGCACATGAAATGAACTTTATCAGTAATGAAAACAAATTTCGGGAAATAAGTGTACACACATTTTTGGTTATCGGATATACATCATAAAAATAATAGCAAAAAGGTGGAAAATGCTTGCCTGTCTTTTAGAGTTCAAATTGACCATGCTGGATGGATTTTTACAGGGCATATACTTGTTCATGACCCCTAGTGTTAAGAAATTCTGTCCTGTTTGAGAACTAGTCCCTTGTGCAGCCTGTATCCCAGTTAATAGCTACAAGGTCAATGAAGCCGCTAAACAGTTTGTATTACTGTCGGGGTGGCCATGAAAACACCACCTGCTGCAAGAGGACTTGGCAGCTGGGTCAACAGGCACTGTGGGAATTTATCAACTTAGTGGGGGCCACTTGCATAAAACTTTGACTGATGGATTGGGACTCCACTGGCTTATTGGACAAAGTTGCTCTATTATGTGTAAGTTTCTTTAGGATGACCGGAGCTGCCTGTGGGCTCCCAGACATACGCAAAGGATAAATAGGACTGGCTTACCCTTGCAAAGTGATTTTTTTTAAAGCAATACTTTAGCGTCCTGCATAACGAGGAATAGGATGAAGTGGTTAACAAAAAAAACCAAAAAATCAAAACAAAGCCAGGAAATGGCACCTCATGGGAGGGGGGAGGCAGCAGAAGGGGTAGGTTTTGATATTGGTCACAGAGGAGTTTGGGGACACAGCATTTCTGAAGAGTGACCTCTCAGGCTTGGGGTTTGCTTTGTTAATTTACAGACTTTTTAAAGGGAAGGCCCTGGCATCTGAGTTGGAGAAGAGCTAAGCAAGGTGTTGAAATACAGGAAGAGTGGATTCAGAGCAGGAAAAGCAACGGGAAAGGCCTTTCTTTCCACATTCCTGGAGAATTAACCCTGGGGCATCTGAAAGTCAAAGCAAAGCCATTTTGGGTTAAGTTCTTCTGAAACAAAACTAGAGTTTTGTGCTCTACAGAGACAAAGCTTCGAAGTCACCTGTGTCAGAACTTTTTTAAGTTTCCACCATTGCTAGAGAGCATTTGATCCTGTTTCTTTTAAATTTTATGGATTTATTCATTCATGTATTGGAGTGTGTCTGGGCTTGGTGCTACAGCTCCGATTTGAAGTTCAGAGAATAACTGTAGATTGGTTTCTCTCCTTCATCTCTAGGTGGTGGCACTTGAACTCAGGTATCTGGCTTGTGCTGCGAGTGTCTTTGCCTGCTGAGCCACCTCACACCCCGCCCCCAAAACATTTGAACAAGTTTGAAAAGAGTTAATGAAGAGCAAGCATGTAAGGAATGACTACCTGAATGTATTTGTTCAGAGCTTTTTTTTTTTTTTTTTTAAAGCTCCCTGGACACCTGCATCCTAATTTTGGAAGTGAGAGAAACTTACAAGTTGAGAAAGCACCTGAAAATAATTATGGAATGCAAAGAATGTGGCCTGACAAGACTAGAGATTAGAATACACTATAAATACATGATTCAGCTAACTTCAGAGCCCCATGTAGTCAAGAGATATGAGGTAATCAGTGGTCGTGTACAAGTTTCTGTGGCGTGCTGTTGGATTTCAAGGAAGACTCTAAGACAAGACTCAGCACCACTGAGTGAAATGAGATCCACTGCCCAAAATGTATGCTCCATGCATCCACACCTGTGCCCTGGATATCAGCTGGTGAAGCCCCAAGGGCAGATTACAGGACACACTGAACTGAGTACAAGAGAGTTTAGGAACTCAGAATTGACTGAGCTGTTGGTTTGATCCCAGCTCCATTCTGATATGAGAGGTAACTTCTCAACCCTGAAGATGCCCTGGAAGTGTTTTGCGTTTTGGCATAAGACAAATCCATTCTTGTACTGTCTCCCCAGGGAAGGCTTTTCCCTAAGTAACTTAGGAAAGCTGGTCATCTTTCATTTTCAAATTTTCATTACAGATGATGGCCAGTTGGAGATGGGGAGGGAAGAAGGGTAATGGGCGGTGAGAAGAGCAACATACAAATATATGTGAGCATAAAATTTACAAGAAGCCCTATTACTTTATATACTAACTTAAAAGTTAACTAATTAAAATGTAATGATCTTTACTTTTTGTAAAAGATCTTCTAAGGGAGCTGTTCCACCCTAAATAATTTAAAACTTAACATAAATGATCCCGCAGTTTTCAGCTTTAGACTAAACTGTCCTTGCAGATTGGATTGACAACATTGGAACCTCACATGTTTTGCCAAATTTGATTAAGAGTTATTACATTTTTATTTCTAAGTTCAATATGTGTGTATAAGAAAATGTAGCATAAATACTATGGTAAGTACATAAATTCTATGATACCTTATATAAAAATATGACGAATTGCCATTTAGTACTTGTCTCTCCCAGGGTCATGAATCAACTGATAATATGAAAGCTATCTTGAAAATATTCTAACAAGTCTAGGCACTTCTCAATTTGTTAGATTTTTGAAATGACAAATTGTGTGTGTGTGTGTGTGTGTGTGTGTGTGTGTGTGTGTGTGTGTATGTGAGTGTGTGTGTGTGTGTGTGTGTGTGTGTGTGTGTGTATTTATAAATTTGATGGTGCTCTTTATTCAGAGTAGAAAGACACTTCTACTCTGCCTGACCTCTTGAGCATGCCTATGCTAGCAATTAACTTGTGTTGCCCCGAATCCTGTTTGCACAGAAGTGTCTGCTCATGCACCAGCCCCTCTTGGGAAAACACTGCAATAATTACTGCTGGCATTTACATCAAAACAGTAAGAGGCTCCCAACAAGCCTTTATGGAAACATTAGCTTTCGTGCACTTGGTTTAATTTAGAATATGCTGATGCCCGTGTGGGAGGATGGGTCTCTGAGATTCTATTACTTCCCCACCTCTGCAAAGCAAACACAGATCTTAACCCTGGCCCCACACATGACATGAATCACCAGAAACAGCCCCATAATGAGGAGCCAGGCCTTCAGGTATGTCAGTCTGAGACCACCCTACTAGAGGGGCCCTAAGATCACAAAGCCAAGGTCACTCATGGCAACCCTGATAATTAGATCCTAATAATAGATTGAAGGTGTAAACTTCACCTCTACTCACCAACAGACTAAACAATCCAGATCAAGAGAGATTTTGTGTGTGGCTGGGAGGGCAGGGTGGGGAAAGAATTCATTACCCTACTGTGGGGAAGCTTCAGAAATTGATCAGTCTTGACAACATAATGGAGCAACAGTGACCATTTTGTAACTAATTGCCACAGGTCCGGGTAAAACCCCATCCCTGCACTGCAGGTCATTAGAGCACTCTGTTAGGAGTGCACACTAGATTGGTTTGTATTTGTAATGTTGCCAGTTTCAGCACCCTCCTAAGTGTCTGATAGTTTTTCATTTCTTTTCTTTTCTCAAAGAAGACACTGATTTCAAACATAAATAGGAAAAACCTCACTGCAACTACGTATGTGACAATAAGCATTTCTCTTATTGTAAAGAAGGGAGGTCACGCTCTCTGTGAGCAGGGGACAGGGACCACTTCCCCTTTCTCATGGGTTCTCCTCTTTGTTGTGCAGTAGCCAGTTCTAACCTGTAGTTTTCTCAGGAAAGGAAATGTTTTTTGGTGATAGAAAAGGTAGTCTGCCCAGTCACTAGATCATGGCTTTTCCAGGAAAACGCAATTGACAACGTACAAATAGTATTTTAACAGTTGAATGGCGTCAATGCCTTTGGCTAACCTTTGCAATATCTAGAACTGATTCTCTTGAGAAAAGCTTCAAAGAAGTTTGAAGTTTGTAGCATGGTGTTGGTGAGTAAGGAGTACCAGTTAGTCACTAACCACTTGTATCTATAAAAGTGATTAGGTTCTGTATGACCAACATTCATGTGGCAGTGCGTAATTTTAACAGTTTCAGAAAGTTCAGCTCTCATATTTGAAAATCATGACTGATGAATGATGATTGGAACCACAGGGAACTGTGTGCCATCATCATTGCGATGGGTAGACTAGACTGGGAGGGAATAGTGCCCTCTTCTGACCTCCATAGGACACACACACACACACACACACACACACACACACGTGAACATACACACACAGATACATACTTACACAGGTGTATGTTAGGTGTGTGTGTGTGTGTGTGTGTGTGTGTGTGTGTGTGTGTGTAGGCCAGATGTTAACATTGAGTATCTTCCTTGATCATTTTCTGTTTCCTTTAATGAGACAAGTCTCCGGCTGAACCAGGAGCTCACTTGTTTGGCAATCTATGCCTTGCCTCTGCCTCCTTGATGTTGGATGTATGTAGCCACTATCCCACTCCACATTTATTTGGGGTCTGTGGATCTGAAGTCTTGTCCTTTTGTTTTCAAGGCAACATTTTATCTGCTAAAAGCCACCAAAATATGATATTTAAAGGACAAAAACCTTCACACCTTCCTTTTGCTGAAGCAAATAGCGAAACAGTACTTCAGTTTTCATTGGCTTGATCAAACAGTCTTTGTGAGTGCTATGAACTGTCTGATCACTTTGAAATGAGAATCATTTGTTGAACTGTTAAGATAATTTATCTTGCCTATCTAACAAAAATCATACTAAGAAGGATGATGTTCTCCAGAACATTTTCATATTCTCAAAATTAAAAATTTTGTTCTTTTCTAACATGAGAGCTGAAGCCACTGTTCTCCATGTTTTAGGGTCCTCTCCTGACTTTTAACAGGGAATGTTGGCTCCACAACTCCAGGACATCTCTGAGAGGACAAGAATGATATGAATAAGCTTTTCAAGCCCTTCAAGGTCAAGTGTAGCCCTCTGTCATGGGACGGTAGAATGTTCACTCTAGCCCTTCACAAACTATGTCTGTTCTATAACACCTCAGCATGAACTAAAGTGACTGGAGGGTGGATATTGAGTGGACTCAAACGAAAAAGAAGCTTTACCTTTTTGGGTCTATGATCTTGTACAGTTTTCCATTGTGAGTCTGGGTCATACTCTTACTGCTTGATAAAATGTAAACTTCTCCTGTTGAAAAGAGAAATAATACAGAGTGAATTTATAGCATGACATCATAGCCAAGCAGATATCATGGGTCTCCATCCAGCCTCAGGAAGACTCTTATACCTAAGGTTGTGATAGCACTCATAAGTCCTCCTCTGCACTGTACCTGAGCCCAGTCACCTCTCCCCCAGCCCCAGACTACTCCTGTTCCTTACCTGGCTCACAGCCAACAGCCTCCTCCCTGGGGTCCTTGTCTCTACCTCTGTTTGTAGGTTTATTCTTACCCAGTGATTGTTTTCAAGAGTGAAACAGCCTAAGTAAGGTCAAGTGGAATTTTCCTGCCTTCCTATGAAGCTGCCTGGATAAACCCCTCCCTTCATTCCTCCTTTCAGCCCCCAACTCTTTTCCCATTCCTTCCATCTTTCCTTTCTTTCTTCTTCCTTGATCTATCTTCTTCCTCTTCTTCTCCCTCTTTATTGTGCAAACTCAGAGCCTTGAGTATTCTAGCCAAGTGCTCTACCACCAGTGCCCACCCATAGCCCTAGTTATTCTCAAAATTAAAGTCTGCCGATGACATTTAAATTATTCTACAGAGCTTGACTCTTATTATCTTTCTGGTTCCCTTGAGTGGGGTAGAAATGCATTAAAGAAAAAAACCCAGATATAAAATGCTTTCAGTGGGAATATTGGGTGGTAGTGGCACACACCTATAATTCCAGCACTCTGGAGGCAGAGACAGGGGATCTCTGTGAGTTAGAGGGCAGCCTGGTCTACAGAGTGATTTCCAGGACAGCCAAGACTACACAGAGAAACCCCGTCTTGGGAAAAAAAATGCTTTCACTCTGGAGCAAGAGAGGACAAATCTCTGTCCTAATTATCATATCTGTGACCATCTCTCAATTAAGCACTGTATCATAGGGATAGGGAAAAAACATACCCATGTTTCTCAAGTACTTTTATGCATTTTGGGGATCATTGCCTGAGTCCCCTACTAATCTAAGCGAATGGTATGTAACTATTTGTGTTGATTCAATGTGCAAAGAAAACCAACCTGGACTTTCATTATAGAGAGAACATTCTGACTTAGGAAAGAAACATTCTTTCTTTTTATGCCTTAAAATTCATTTCTGAGACTGAAGGATCTTAGTCCTCATGGTTTGTTAGGGTGTAGTTAAGTAAAATACCATAAAAGCAACACTGAAGTCTGTAATTTAAAACAGTGGAGAGTGCATAATTTCACTTTCCGATTAACCAGACTCCAATTCCAACTCCCTTCTCATCAGGCTTCCTATGTACTATTATTATTATTTTTAATGGAGGATAGTTTTATTTTAGCTCCTGGTTTTAGGGATTGCAATGTGTGTTAGCCTGACTCTGTTAAGTGGGAGATACCATTGCAGTTGTGTAGGCCAAGAAGACCTCTTGCCCACACAGCAGCTGGAGAGCAAAGACACAGAGAAAAACAAGGTTCCAATGCTCCCTTCAAGAGTGTCAATTTGGGAGCTGGAGCAATGGCTCTGAGGTTAAGGGCACTTGTTGCTTTTGCAGAGGACCTAGGTTCAATTCCCAGCACCCACATGGCAGCTCATGACCATGTATAACTCTAGTTCCCGGGGATCTCCTCTTCTGACCTCCTCAGGCACCAAGAATGTACATGGTGTACACTCATGGAGGCAAAACACCATGAATATAAAATAATAAAATAAATCGATTTTTTTTTAAAGAACACCAATTTCCTCACATTGAGGCTCACCTGCTAAGGGTGCCACCACCTCCCAATGGCACCACAGCATGGTGATGAGGCCTTCAACATACACAGTCTCCAGACAGCGATAAACATGCCAAAAACATTGTCAATACTGGTAAGATAATTTCTGTTCTATTGGCAAGGATCTCTGGCCCTCAGATTATCTCACACACATTTTAGTCTCAAATGGGAAAAATAAATAAGTTAACAACAAAGAGGGTTAATTAGATTCATTCAGAGTGTACTTTCTAAAATATATTAAAAAGACATGGGCAAGTGGGACAGTTTTTACATAAAAATAAAAGGAGTGTCATAGTATATAGAGAAAAAATATCAGTAGGTATGAAAACATTTGGAACTTATTTTTTCTTGTTTCTGCCTGTTTTTTTTCTGTTTTATTACTTTAATACTTCCAAAATATAAACCAGGTATGAAGATCCTTGGAGAAGGTTGTTAGGAAAGGCAGTCTAACTGTACAATCTTGGGATTCTGTGGAGATCCCCTTTACTGTGGACACATTTCCAACAAATGGAAGAAGAGACAGTTATTCTATTAGACAACAAAGTTTTCCAAGGAAGGAGTGAAACTAGAACTCAGTGGGGTAATAGATATGGTACCTAGTTCATCTTCTCCAAATCCCAAGATATGACCTGAAAAGTAGCCTCGACAGGAACCGCTGGTGCCCAGACAGAGTGGCTTTTCTTGCCATTGCTTGGTCACTGGACTTCGCTGGAGAGTTAAGAAATTCCTACAACAAAACACACCATAAACCCACAGTGAAAATACTCCTTGGCTTATGGGGCATCCTAAAATGTTTTAAAATAGAAATTGTAATAAGGAATTGTCACACCAAAGACATACATCACTTCTCAAGGGAAAAAGAATATGCTCTGTCCTGTGTCGGAGCACTCATCTGTCCTGTACTGGGAGCACTCATCTGTCCTGTGGGGGAGTACTCATCTGTCCTGTGTGGGAACATTGCTCTGTCCTGTGTAGGAACATTGGTCTGTCCTGTGTGGGAACTGTGAAAGTACCATATGAGAATACGGGACTCAAAGATAAGATGGGGTTTGGAAAGGGCCCTGAAAAGTCCAAGTAAGAGAAAGGCCCTCCCCTCCTTCCACCTAGAGAGGATGCTTCCCAGGCAGGCTGGTCTTAAGCACAGGCTGTGCAGCTGAAACCAGTACGAGAGGGATGGGTAGAGCACTGGGTAGGTGCAGTCAAATCCCCTATCTCTTGCAGAAGCCGAGCTCGAGTGCCAGCAGCATGGGTTTCGCTAGCTCCTTATAATTACCTACCATGAGACCCTGAAAACTGAGGCTCAATTTTTATTTTGTAGAAACTCCTTATGTAGATGAAGTGCATGGTGCGGCAGAAAGTCCTTTGAGTTTGGCACTACCAAAATTCTTAGTTTTCCAGGGTAATTTTTAAAACAGCTTTTACAACTCTCATAAAACAAATTTTGGAATTAGGTTGAGGATAAAGAGAACAGTAGAAATAAGTGGAAGTCCCTCACAAGACTCCTTTGCCTTTGAACATTATCCCATAGAAGTGACTGAACCTATCGAAGAAACTTTTAGAAGCATCTCTCCAATTAAGCTTCCAGATGAGGCAAAACACAAGGAACTGACAGTAATTTTGCATGTGTCTAAGGTCTGACACGTGGGGGATAGCCACTTGAATATTTTTTGGTAGTGTGCCAAACTATACAAGAAACTGTGGCATTCGGAAACATACCCATTGCGATCTCCAAACACATAGCTTCCGTACAATCTTTCAGACTGGCAGCCTCTGTAAATGAATCCACCAACCAAAGGGCCATTACTGAATGGCTTGAATTCTAAAAGTGATGGCTCACTTTCTGAAAAACAAAATATCATTAGAACAAATGAAACATTTTCTGAAGTAAAAGTGAGCATCACAATCATTTAATTCCAAATTGTGTTTCAAAAGGCAAGACAAGGATCTTTCCCAGGTACACTGATGGCATCAAAATGTAAGTTTAACAAAATGAAACTGCCCATCAGGACACAGCAAGATTCCAGCACAATTCAAATTAGGGTTAGTTACTATAGAGCCAAAATACTTTAACGCCTGAGTTTTGAACAATAAACATCTGTAAAAATGGTTCTGCTTGTGTTTAGTAAATCAAACAGACTTACCAAATCATATAAAATATTTAAAGTTTTAAAAGTTCACACTTTAATGAAAAATAAAAGCATAGCACCTAAAATGTCTTTAAGCCCACATTTACTGTATTCATAGAAACACTGTCACTCAGTAGAGTAATATCTTAACTTAAGGCACCATGGGAGTTCAGTTTATGGAGTTGAATGTTAACAAACACAGCTTTAGCAGCTCCTTTGAATTATATGTGACAAATTCACATGAGGATGCTTTTACTGTCAAAGAAGTCACAAGCACCAGCAGGTACCTATGTAGGTGACTTTGTGGCAACACAGTCATTTTAAAGGTCTTATTCTGCCATAGGACTATGATAAAACAAAGCTTGGAAAAGACCAGTTTTAAATACCCTGCCCCAGACAGAAGCCATGACTGAATGACTAAGGTCACGAGTACTGGAGTTAGGCTGCTGCAGTTCAAACCCATCCTTTGCTGTTCAATTTTGTTTGATAATTAACCTTTCTGTACCTCAGTGTCCCCTCTGTACAATGTGGCTGATAATGGTGCGTATCACTTACAGGGTTCTGTGAATGTGTTCACAGTGGGAGCTGCTCACACTTTGAATGTGTTTTAAAATACGCAAATGTAAGGCCATTAATACTCTAACTGGTCTTGCTAGGAAGTTAATGTGCTTAGTAGAATTTAGCTTAATCTTCTGATATAGCCCAAATCAATTGAATTAGTTAGTAGCTTATTAGACTTCTTTTTCCAAGCAACATTATTCTTTGGTTTGGCTTTTTAAAGTGTACACACACACACACACACACACACACACACACACACACACACACACACCAGAGAGAGAGAGAGAGAGAGAGAGAGAGAGAGAGAGAGAGCTCGAAAAAAAGTGAAGTAAAATAACCGAATACTGCATGAACTAACACAGCTGCCCCACTCCTAGTGCTAAAATAAATAACTCTGTTGAATGAGTAAACAGAAGGAGCAATCAGTTTAATAATCTCAATCTCCTGTGCTCCCTAAGTCGTAAAAATGCTTACTATACTGTGGCCTTCAAAAGAAGTATGCACTATAGCATTGAAAATAATTCAGTGTTTTGGACTTCATTATCCAACTTTATGTTTTTAAGTTCTCTGTAAATACTCCAGTAATCATGTTATTAAAAATAATGTTTAAACATTTTATTCCCATGACTTGTTTTTACAAGTCAATTACTTTGTTTTCTCTAAAAGAAGCTCATTTTAAAATTATTTTTATTAGAAACATTATTTTCCTAATTGCTGAGACTTGCATGTCAAATGTTCGGCAATTTCTTACCTCTAAGCTTATTTGTCTGCATATAAGATGTTAAGACAAGTTCCCCCATATAAGAGGGAAGGGAGTAAAGAGAAGTTCCCTGCCTTGAGTCTCAGATGAGCAAAATGCAAGCCACTGACTTTTGAGACCATTAAACTATTTGAACCCACAGGGAAGACTGTAATCCATGGGAAAGGCAATTAAACAGAAGAACCCTCTGGGCTTGGAGGAGTCCTTGAACCTTTAAAAATGGAGCAATTTACTCACTGGCCTCACAGAGGCCACTGTTTTTATGCTTTTTCAAATGCTCATTATGCAGACTCCCTTTTCTCCAATTAATATACTAAAACCAATCTTTACCTACAGCGACAACCGCAGGCTTGACTCACCGTAATCTTTCCCTTTCATTATCTGAAGGATTCTGGCTGATGATCTGTTTTTCCCATTGGAATCTGAGCAAAGTATTGTTAAATTGATGTTTCTATCAGTAGGATGTCGATCCACGGCACATCTACATAATAAAGGAGGAAGACACTCATTAATTCCTATCAGGGTCTTCCTGACATAGAAAGGGCCACTCTGTGGGTTGGCCAGGATCCCATGAGCAATTTAGTTAGGATGTTCTTGAAATCAATGAAGGAAACATCTGATGTGTTTGTTTACCCTGCTGCAGCCAATGACCTCAGGAGTCATTTCTTAATTTTTCTGGCTATCTTTCTTCTAATGAATGTGCTCATCATCTTAAAGACCTTTGTTAGCCTATCGGTAAGGATTACCTCATGCATAACACATTGGCAGAGTTTGGAAATATGAATCAATGCTACCATCAACTGTGCCATACAATGTATGTAATATATTTGCCTTAGAACTAGTTGTATTTCCTACATGGAATGCTACCTTGTGTGTGTGTGTTGTGTGTGTGTGTGTGTGTGTGTGTGTGTGTGTGTGT